TAAGCTCATAGTAAATTATAGCAATACGATCTTCCTATGGCTGGCTTTGATTGGATGATCACAACAAAAACACATCCTTATTTCATGGGTACTATGTAACAACCTGTGCTTTTTTTCCTAGGTTATTTTCACCAGTCTATATGAAAATCACATGATTTTCATATAGACCGGTGAGAATTTTTTTAAGTTATAGTATGTTATCAAAATAATTTTAATAACCAAAATAATTTAATATTGGGTTTATAGTTATATTAGCAAAAGTACTATTTTATTTGTTATTTTTTTTTCAAATGCTTAAACGAAAGGTTTTAAATTCTTATTAATTGTCATGATATTACTTTAAAGTGAATTTTTCTTTGTGTGATAGTTCTATTTGGGGTGAAAGAGTTAAATTCTTTTGGCCAGTATGATAATACTATTTGCAGCTGGCACAATAGTACTATTTAGGATAGAAAGATTTAAAATTATCTTGGTTGGCGCGATAGTACAGTAGTTTTTAAAATTATTTTAATCATACATATTTTTGCAGGCAAAAGGTTTTTACAAATAGTTTTTTTTTTTTTGAATATTGAGACAAGCGAAAGATTTTGAAAAAGTTTTATGCTGAACAAATATATTTCGCGAAAGTTTTAAAATTCTTTTTGCTGACTAAAATTCTCATGAGTGATGCAATAGTACCATTAATGATAGGTTTTTAAAATTCTGTTGGTTGTTACGATGGTATTTTTAAAATTCTTTTGGTTGACATATTATTTAGAGCAAATTACTCAGTCGAACACACTAGTACTATTTAGAAAGGTTTTAAAATTCTCTTGCTATTCTAAGTGAAAGATTTAGGATTCTTGGTTAAAGTAAAAAATTTTAAAATTTTTTGCTAGTACGAAGTAATAAATTAAAAATTTTTTGTAGTTAATGAATGATAACAATGTAAGAGCATAAATGATAAAAAATTTATTTAAATACTTATCATTACGTTATGAAATCTCTTGATTTATTTATCAAGATTAAAGAGGTTGCACAGGTTGTTACGTTGTACCTATGGAATAAACTAGTTATTTAATGAATATCAGTGAACATGGTGTATTCCACAGAATAATAGTAAACCATGTGGTCTTTAGCCACGTAATTTTACTATTATTCTGTAGAATACACCATATCTACTGATATCCATTAAATAACAAGTATGTATTTTCCCGTGAAATACGAGTTTCTTTTATGCTATCTACAGTATTATGATTTTTTATAAGTAATAACACATGATAATTAGCATCACATGGTTTCATCAGACATCACTACCCTATACAGAACCTTTTTTACTATTTTTGCATTTTATTTTTAATATCTATTGCTATTACATAATGTACAACCACCACTTCACTATCGGAGTACTATAAAATTAATCAATAGCACAGATACTCCGATATGTGAATAATCAATAGGGGTTTACTTATTTCTTACTATGATACAAATCACGCGAAATTACAAATACAGTCGACTCTGGATATACCAAACTGCATATTCTGGACCTTTTTGTTTAGTACAAAGTAAGTTCATTATATAAATTCTCTCTTTATATACCGAACTATTCGGTGTATAAATCTAGCCAATAAAATCTCTTTCAAACTTGGAAAATTTCAGTTTTACTCTTGCTTGTCTTTTACGTTCGTTCATTTTCTTTTGGAATATTTCAGATCTCATTACTTCATAGACATATGTATCTACAAAATCATACAAAAATTTGTTATATCGAAATATGTATACATAGTCTTGGGTTGGTAAAGATGAGTTCGGATATGGTATATGAAGATTTACTATTTAAGTTCGGTATAGCCAACTTAAATTATTATAAAAAAATCTGTTCTGCCAAATCCGGTTCGCTATAGCCCAATTTCGGTATAGACAAGTTCAGTATATCCAGAGTCGACTATATTCTATTTGCTACAAATTTGCTTTAATTTTAAAGTTAAAAAAAATAAATTCTATACTAAAATTTTGCAAGAAATTTTTTTTGTTAGAACACGAGAGGTAATTTTTTAAACAAAATTTTGAGTTATTAGTGATTTTTTGAAAAATACCAACAAATACAAACAAATTTTATGTTACATCTAATCTTACAATCTACATACAAAAATTTCTTTTTTTTGGTTTGTATTATGGTGGGAAATAAGGGCATACTAATTAATAGAACTAATTGGAAGTGATGGGGAAATTAATAAACTCGTAATTGTTAAAATGATAACAAAAAATACAGTACAGTATATCAATGATTAAAAAAAAGGTCCTGTATAGAAACTTTCACTCACTCGGTAAATTGACAAGTGACTTGGTGCACCATAATAGAATTAGAGATTGGGTGGTTAGAGAAGTGTCAGATATCAACTGATATTATAAGGTAGAGAGAGGTAGACAAAATCTTAGATCTAATATATATATAACCAATCAGAACAACTAAATTTCTCTGAGTTCTATAGTAAACTGATCTCATCTAATATCTGGCATGTCTCTTATAGTAAAATCAACTATGCGAATACTTACTATATTGTCATTGCTAGTTTTTTTTTTTCATCCTGATTTGTATTTTTTTATTCTTCATTTTATTTGACTTTTAACTTCATTTTTATTTTGTTTTTTTTGTTATATATATATATATATATTTACCTTTTATTTTATTTATTTTGTTTTTTACTAGACTTTATAGTATATATACTTATTAATAAAAATAAATCCAGTAAATTTTTATATTACACCACTTTAGAAAATTGATAATCAATAATATATTATAATTTATGATTTTACTATACATCCTTTTGTTTCAAGTCTAGAATCAAGATATCAAACTGGCTGCTTTAAGTATTAGGAAACCAGATATTCTGCTAGATCTTGAACTAAAAAAGATACATATCTACCCACTATTTAGATAGAAAAAAAAACTATGTAGCAAGTAGTTTTTTCTTGGCTTACACAACCTGAAGGCATGCTCAATTACTCTGAGCAAGACATCGGTCTAACAGTCATTTAAAAAAAAATTTATAGTTGCAAGTTGATGAAGTTTTTGCTAAATTAATGATGCTTAGAAAAAGAAAAAAATAATATATTTCAATCCAATTTGAACATAAGAAATGTTACTTTAAGATCTTGAATATGAAGGATTAAGACAACTTAGAAAAGCTTTTTTTTTAAACTCCTTATATCTTTTAGTGAAGGCATATCTACTTTTTCAAAATCTCTATATAGAATATAAATGTCTCAACAATTCTTTCTAACCTCTTCAATTGAACTAAAAGATAAGAAGAATTCAGCAAGCAATTCATATAAACGTCAATATACAGAAGGTGAAAATATGGAACTTTTGGATTATTATATACCTGCTTACATACTCGCTTATGTCATAAGCAAGACATTGGCTCTAAAGTTTATTTTAAGAATATATTTTAAAGCAGAAGCTACTTTACTGCTTGCTTTGGCCTTTTCATCGATTTTAAAGTCATATACATTTCAAGCTCATTTTGCAAAAGATGATTCAGAATTATTTTATCTGTATGTTCTTGTAAAAAAAATAAGAAACTGTTTAGTAAATTGGTTAATTGATAAAACATAAATTATATTGAACAATTCACTTAATAGGAGGGTGCTAGAAAAATAGTGTTAGGATTATATTTTGAAAAAATTAAAATAGGTAAAACTTTGATAATACTGTAATAGCAAGCTCAAATTTATGTATATATAAATATAGTATATATAATAACATTAAGGCCAATTTTGGTCAAAGTTGACCTATCACATAACCATATACCTAAGAATTTTTAAAGCTTTGAGTGAAGATATCTCGATAACCATTTAATCAAATTCAATAAAAAAAATTTCATCGAATTTAGTCAGGTAGATATCAAAATATCTTTGCTCAAAGTTAAAAAAATCAACTCGTCTATCAAAATAGAAGCTGCTACTAAATTTTTTCTCTAATTTTGGATAAAGATATCTTAACACCTATCAAACCAAATTCAATAAAACTTTTTATTTGAATTTTATGGATTCATAGAATTTGAATAAAAAAATTTTCATTAAATTTAGTCAAGTAGTTGTTGAGATATATTTGCTCAAATTAGAAAAAAATTTGGCATAGCTTCTATTTTGATAGGCAGATTGATTTTTCTCTAATTTTGAGCGAAGATATCTCGACAACCACCTGACTAAATTCGATGAAAATTTTTTTATTCGAATTCTATAAACCCATAAAACTCAAATACAAAAGTTTTAATGAATTGGTTTGATGGTTGTCAAGATTTCTTTACTCAAAGTTTAAAAGAATTTAGTATTTTGATAGGCATTTTGATTTTTTCTAGCTTTGAGCAAAGATATCTCAACAACCGCCTGGCTGAATTCGAATTCAAATAAAAAAAGTTTTATCAAATTAGGTTTGTGGTTGTCAAGTTATCTTTGATTAAAGGATTCTATTTTGATAGGCAGTTTGATTTTTTTTTAACTCTAAGCAAAGATATCTCAATGAACACCTGACTAAATTTGATGAAAATTTTTTATTCGAATTCTATAAATCCATAGAATTTTTTTAAAAAAGTTTTATCAAATTTGATTTGATGGTTGTCATATCTTTGAGCAAAAATATTTGATAATTATCTAGCTAAATTTAATGAAAAATTTAGCCAGATAATTATCAGATATCTTCACTCAAAGTTTTAAAAATTCTTGGGCATATAGTTATATGATGGGTCAGTTTGACTCTAGAATTGCTAAAATTAATTATGTTTGAAATATTAAGACCAAATTAAAACGCAATCTCTAAAAAAAAATATTGCCAAAATCTTCATCGCCATTTCTTTATTAATTTTCAAAGTAAAATATTAACTTTCCTTTTTTAAATATGCGATAACCTTGAAAAGCTCAAATTTTGTCTATGTTAATTTTGGTTTGAAATTAGAATTAAAAAAAGATCTTGATTATGTGTATATTTACTGAATTACAGTATTATGATACGTGCTATAATTAATTACTCACAAAATCTTAAATATCATAAAGCTGTGTACTAGTAATTTCACTAGCCAAAAAAATAGCCAATTTAGCCAAGTTCATGTTTTTTTGATCGAAAAGTTTGGTTTGGCCGATAAAATTGCCAACACTGTAGCTATAGTACTATCATATTATTTCTATAGTGTTGTATTGTTATTTAATTAATTATTTGATTTTTGTTTGAATAAAAAAATTTGGCTGTTTTCTGAAACCTTTTGAATTTGTCTTATGAATCATCTAACTTAGTGATACTGTTCTAGTAACAATTACTAGAACTAGATGGCTGCTAGAAGGAAATAGAATACTTCCAGATAGCACAACAAGTTCCAGTTACTATTGCTTATTAGAAGCTTTTAGTGAATTTTTTGTCATTGGATGAAATATCTAGTAGCTTCTAATGGCTAAATAAATTTACAAAATTGATAATATATTGTGATCGTGTGATCTAATCTTGATAATTTTGGCATTAATAGATTCGCCTCAGTGAGACGATTTGAATAGTATTAAAATCATTCAAATTGGATCACAAAATATCACATTTTGGTTAAAATTAACAAAGAAGATTTACACAAATTTAAAAGCAGGTTTTTTGCGAATATTTTGAAATTCCATGATTGGATTTTAGATATTTTTATATTATTAGATTGATCTCACTGAACGAATTTAATGATATCAAAATCACTATAGGATTTGATGTTTTTTAAATTGTATAGTGCGGGATACCTAAAGACAGAACTAAATTTGAGTACCTTTAAAGTGTAATCAAAATTTATATTGATATGATATTTAAAAAAAAAGGCTGCTATTTTATAACCAAACTAGTTTATTACAAAATGGCGGCCTTTTTTTAGAGATTCGATTACCTATTATCAAGATATATCTATTTGAAAAGGCTGTACTTTCATATAATCGACAAAAAATGAAACAAATAATGGGACCTATAATTAACCAATAAATATTAAATATAAATTTACATTTGATTGGCTAATAACTAATCACATTTTTATTTTATTGGTTTATGTTATCGATAATCATGCATAAAAAAATTCTCAGCCAAGAAAGGACGAACAAACAAAACAGAGTTGTGATTATAAAACAATGCTGTGGCCAAACCTGAATAATGAAATAAATAGTGCTACAATTAATCTTGAGCGTGAGCCTTGAAATGAAGATTTTGGCAATATTT